AAAATCACCTGTGCTAAATGACCTGAGGCCTACTTAAATTGAATTAAAGGTATCTTCCAACTTTTCCAGAATTTAATTAAACAAAATCCCACAATAAATATGCCATTCCATAATTTTTAACTGGCATACAAATATAAAAATGAAAAAAAATGTCATTGCAACGGTAGAATACAAGCAATACATTTTAAGCCTGCCTGCTCTGTTAAAAGAATCTAATCTTCAGCAATATTTCTTCAAAGTGAGATTGGGTAATTCTCTATTTTATAAAGTTTTCTGTTTACAGGAATTTTCATTTACCTCTGTTACATTGTGAAGCCCACATGAGTGCTCATAACGTGTAAAGGTTGAGTATGAACCACTTGCAAGCCTTCCCTTAGAGGAAGGCTGTGTAATTGATAACCCCAGTAGGAATTCAAGTCTTACAGTACGTATGTGTGTTTGCCGCTGAGTTATAGAACAGATAGTATCACATGCAGAAAATAGCACAAGAACTTGGCAAAGACCAAAGTTACCATCTCTAGCCTTCCCCTGCTTGCAGACAGCCTTCCAGGGACATTGTATATCTTGTCTTTGAAAAGCAAAAGATCCCACACCATCCTTGGATCTTATTCCATTGTTTAATGTCGGTGACTCTTAAGACTGCTTTTGTCAAAACCAACTTTGTTATATTGAAACCAAATCCTTCATATTGCAGCTTATGCTGCTTTTCCTGCAAAATTGGAAATAAAATTTAAATAGTGCCCATTGTATAATGATCCTTTGTACAGCTGACTACCGTTACTAAAATCACTAGCTTTTTCTCTCTATCAAATAATCAGCCATTTTTAATGGTCTTTCTCCCCCAAACTCCTTTGTTACCTTAGTTTCTTCAGTAAACCTGCTCTTAATGCTTAATACCCGTTCTAGAGCCTGTTAGAGGAATAGTTTGTCCAAGGACCCATTTTCAATCTTAGGGATCTTTCCAGATCTGTGATTTCTATGCCAGTACAGTTACGATCACTGACCCTTCCAGTGCCCTAAGAAGCAAACATTTGTGCCCAAATTTCCTTAGAAATGTGGTTTCTCCTAACTTTATTAATTACTTATTTAGAGTATACCTACTGAAATCACCTGTGGTCATTTTCTGTCAGGACCATTTAGTTTACGTTTACCATGTCACGTCCCTATATCTGCAGCCAGAGCCGTAAGGCACCTCGTGTTCTCCCAGATTCCCATAATCAAAGGAGGGCCACAGTCAGTTATTTTCCCAGACCCTTTGTAAAAATTTCCATTGACTAAGATAAGTGCATCATTGCCTGTTGATAATATTGAATGTATTTTTCCTTTGACTGTCCCTGAATCATGTCTTCTTTGGTAAATGCAAATCTATGTTTTAAACAGGAATGTATTTTAGTTTCTGATCTTTATCAAAATGTTTATAAATGATTCAGCTATTAAATTGTGAAAGCAACAGTGCAGAATGTTCTGTTTACCTAAAACTTCCTCAATACCTCTCACTTCTCTAATCTCTAATTATAATCTGGTTATTGTTTATAATCTGCAGGTGACCATTCTACCCTACACAAAGGTTCGCCCTCCCAGGAGGTTGGCTACCAACGTGATATGGTACAAATAAATACTTGACACAGCGCTTCTGTATTCTTATTAAGTTGATGACTCAACCAGTCATCTAGTTTATACAGTGATTTATTTTAAGAGATTATTTTTATTCATAATCTTCATGTAGCAAAAGAAGATTAGCGAATTTCCTTCTTAAATGGTTTTGTCCTTTCAAGAATGCTGATAAAGATCTTTACTGAGTAAACCACGTTTTTTTTTTAACTAGGGACCGGGTCTCGCTCTGTCACCCACGCTAGAGTGCAGTGGTGTGATCATAGCTCACTGCAACCTCGAACTCCTGGGCACAGGCCATCCTCCCGCCTCAGCCTCCCGTGTATGTGGGACTACAGGCACACGCCACCACACCCAGCTAGTAAACCACCTTTTAATTCTCTCTTGTTTTCCTTCCTTTCTAACATTATTCCTTCCTTGCTTTCAATATTATTTCCTCTCCAGTTTTGAAACTCTATGTCTAGGTATCGGAAAAAGCAGTTTATTCACCATTACGTAAAAAGAACATTTGTCAGACCACTGTCCAAGCATCCTAACCAGGAGCAAATGGACTTATGGGTAGAAGGAGGGTGCACGGGGAATCTTCAAAGGGTAAACTCACAAAATTGTGCACATTCCAGCAGCTCCCTAGAAAGAGTGCATTATTGTTTGTCAGATTCTCAGAGGAATTCAAGCCCTGAAAAGGACCCATTGCCATGGACCAGCAGTTTCCAAATGTGGGCTTTGGGGTTCCCCAAAGCTTCAGGGAGTCTGAAATTCCCTAGGATTTTCTTCATATATGTCAGTGAAAACAACGTACTCACTACATTTATTAACGAAGCAGGTATATGAGAATCTAGTTGCCTTTAATTAAGGAACATTAAAGAGATTTGCACAATTCTAAAAGAATACCAGTCTTTTCACTCTTTTTTTCTTTATTTTGGAAAACAGTTATTTGAAAATGTTAAAATATAATAGGTTTATTT